GCGATAAAGTATTCTATCACGGACGGCGAAGTGGGAGGCTTGTCGGTGTAGCGCTCGAGATGGCGGGCGGGCGAGTGTTTCAGATAGGTAATCCATCAGAGACGCAATCCACGAATCTTTGCGCTGCTCCGCAGCCAAGTTGATGGGTCCTGGTAGTGGAAGGAAATTGTCTTGGATGGAGACACTCGCAATATCAGTAGAAACAGGTGAACGCGAAAGAGCATCGGCATCACCGTGCTTCTGGCCTGAGCGATAATTGACACGGATGTCGTACTCTTAGAGCGGTGAAGGCCATCGTGCCAAGTGTCCGGAGGGATCCTTGAGGGAGGATAACCAGCAGAGCGCGTGGTGGTCGGTAACAACATCGAAAGGGCGGCCATACAGATAAGGCCGAAATTTTGTAATGGCCCAGATGATCGCTAGGCATTCTTTCTCAGTTACCGAACAATTTGCTTCTGTTCTTGTAAGAGTGCGGTACGCGTACGCAAGAACATATTCTAGCTAACCAGGCTTTCGTTGGGCAAGTACAGCACCAAGACTGACACTGCTAGCATCCGTGTGGATTTCTATGGGAGCGCTTGAATCGAAATGACGCAGTATGGGTGGTGTTGTAAGCAGTTCACGGAGCTTCGCAAAGGCACTGTCCCACGCTGGAGACCACACAGATAGATTGCGGTCTCCCTGAAGTAGGTCTGTCAGAGGTGCCATGATAGAGGGGAAATCCCGTACGAAGCGGCGGAAGTATGAGCAAAGCCCAATGAAACTACGCAGCTCCTTAAGAAACGCGGGCCCCGAGAACTTGCGAACAGCTTAACAGGGTCAGGAAGAATGCCATCCTTCGACACGACGTGTCCAAAAATGGTGAGCTTGCGTGCTCCAAAGTGACACTTCTTCGAGTTTAGTTGGAGGCCTGCTGCAGAGAGGCAGCGTAGAACTTGTTCTAAGCGACAAAGGTGCATGGGAAAATCGAGCGAAAATACCACCGCATCACCTAAGAAACACAAACACGGCCTCGCTCGTAGGATAGTGTCCATCATATGCTCAAATGTGGCCGGAGCATTGCATAAACCGAATGGCATCACGTTAAATTCGTATAAGCTTTCTGGTGTAACAAAGGCAGTTTTTGGCCTATCATTCGGATTCATGGGCACTTGCCAATACCCAGAGCGTAGATCAAGGAAAGAAAAGAATTTTGTGCCCTGTAAAGAGTCGAGCGCGTCATCGATCTGAGGCAAAGGATAAACATCCTTTCATGTTGTTTTGTTTAGACGACGATAATCTACGCAAAAGCGTATCATGCCATCCTTCTTTTTAACTAAAACAACCGGTGACGCCCAAGGACTGTTTGATAGTTGAACGATGCTGCTTATTCATCGATGACCCGGCGTTCCATCGGCAAAACACGGTACGGTCGCTGCCGTAGTGGTGGGTGAATACCTGTGTCACTCTGGTGGCATACAGTAGATGTTCGACCTAATGTAGCCCTGTGACTGCCAAAAGATGGCCGAAACTTGTCAAGGAGGCTCAAGAGCTCACACCTTTGTTGTGTGTTTAGGCCTTCCTCGATGACACGGTTTAAAATGTCCGCAGTGAAAGGGCCATTCACGGAACTACAGGAGAAGGTGCCGAATTCCGGTGATCCATCAGGAACGTCAAGTGCAGCAATGGCTTCGAATGATTCCATTGAGCCGATACATTCACCCCGAAGCAGCGTAATCGTGATTGGGAATGGATTCCCCACAGGCACGTTGGTTGCACCACCTTGAAGAGTAAGGAGAGCGGTTGGGAGCGGTGATAGGTGGCGATGTACGAAAACAGTGGAAGGTGTGAAGAATGTGGTAGCGTCGATGACGGCGGAATATGACACAGATACGAAGACAGTAGCGCACGGAGGGATCTGGGTGTCGTCACTGAAGACCAACTTCGCGTAGGAAGGGGGATCGTCCACATGTAGAGCATCACCAAGGGAACAAAAGACGACTTCGGTGCGGGTGCAATCAATGACGGCTTGGTGATGGGAGAGAGAAAATCCCAACCTAAAATGATGTCGTGAGAACAGTGCGGGAGTACTACGAACTGCACTGTGTAGGGCACTCCTTGAATTACAAGTCTAGCGGTACACGCGGCCACAGGCTGTGCAGTGGCAGTTTGAAGACACGAACCAAAGTAAGGCATTGTCACTTTTCAAATTAAACGGCAAACTTTTTCAGCGATGACAAAAATAGCGGCACTAGTATCAATAAGGGCAAGTAAGGGCACACCTTCAGGAACGGCATTAATTAGATTCGGCTGCTAACGAAGAGGGCTTGTGCTTTGCGATGAGGACGCAGTTCTTGCCTCGGGAACTGTGTCATTTAGTTTTCGACGTCGATTGTAGGGGAGCGACGGCGCATCGAGGAGGGCGAGCGACGACACGAATAAGGAGATCGGCGATCAGAAGCTGGTCGGTGGATTGGTCGAGGAGGGTGCAATTTGGTGTCTGGAGTGTAGGGAGTGTACGTGTGGTCGTACTCATATGGATGTGGGTTTGCACGGGAGTGGAGTGGGCGGCGGCGGCACAGACGTGCGACGTGTCCGGGTAGACCACGCGAAAAGTGCACCATGGATTAGGGACTCGGTGGACTGGAGGTCGTGGCGGCTCGGTGGTATAAACAGGAGCAGGCAGTGGAGGCGGCGCTCGGAACGTCTGTGGTCGAGGTCTTGCTTGTGCTTCGGCGTACGTCAACGGTGCATCGACTGGTGGCACCAGCTGCGGAGAAAAGACCTCAGACACTTGGTCTTGTATAATAGTCCTTAGTGTAGGGCTAAGCGGTGCACTGCGCTCCAGTAGGCCGGAGATGAGCGAGAGTTGGCGGGCAACTTCTTCGTGCACAAAATCTCTGATCTGCGAAAGGAAGACGGGATGTTGCGAGGGAGTTAAAGCGGACATTGATTTTTGATATGGGACAGCACAGTGGGTGTCGAGACGTTGCCGGCGGAGCTCATCATAGTTTTGGCAGAGCTCGGCAACTTGGGCGACAGTAGCAGGGCTTTTTGAAATGAGCATCTGGAATGCATCTTCATTGATACCCTTAATAATATGCTTGATGCGGTTCACTTCAGCCATGTTGGCATCGATGCATTTGCACAAGTCAATGACATCCTCTATGTAACTAGTAAAATTCTCACCAGGTAGCTGTAATCTTGGCTGAAAGCATTGCTCCACACAAATTGCGGACAGCAGGACGACCGAAGACTTCGCTGAACTTTGTCTTGAATGCTGTCCGGGTTGGAATGTCGGTTTCATGGTTCCGAAGCCACAAGTGGACAATGTCACTAAAGTAAAGGCCGACGGTGGCCAGTTTCGTGGCTTCGTCCCATGTGTTCAAGACACTCACGAGCTCGTAGGTAGCCAGCCAGTCATCGACGTCGTGATTGTCAGTGCCGCTGAATATGGGAGGGTTTCGCTCACGGATCGTGCTGAAGCACACGATAGCCTGGGAAGCCAATAATGGAGGGCTTGTGGCAGATGTAGTGGCCACAACGGCAGGTCGAGTCCGGCTTCGCAACTCCAGGATTGTGAGGAGACCCAGCAAACTCCACCAAATATAATAAAGACCTGGGACAACAAGAACTGTATTTGAGACCAGGTAGGATCGTAGGCCTAGCCAGCGAAAGCAGCCACAACGTCCGAGCCGAGCTGAAGACGACACCAACGACTGCTGCGTAGCGGAGCCTCTCGCTCTCCGCTACGCAGCCGCAGCATGGCCAGCACGTGACGAGAAAGGAGGAGCGTCTCCACACGGAGAGAAGCAGATCAGCATTTTGAGAGAAAACCAACACTCCACGGCAGCTTTTTTTTTTTTCTCTCTCTTCACGCAGGCCGTTGAAAGGAGAAGGGTTACGTGGCAGGGACGAGGCACTAGCGCGTGAGAGACCCCCCTTCCCTTCAAAGTGCAGAGCCATGCTCCCCCAAGGGGAAAGGGCTGCAGAAGATAGTGCCTTTTCTCTTTCCTTCAATCACACATTCATTCGACCCAGCGACAGCTTTCTTTCTTTGCGCGCGGCGTTGGGAGAAGGGTCTTTACATGGCAGGGACGGAAAAGGGAGAAGAGTGACACGGGCGCGTCACATTATTCGGAAGTTCGAATTAAGGGTGTTCGAATCAACAAGATTCGACTGTACTTTCATTTCACAGCCTTATTTTATTTTCTTCCCTCTTTTTCCATGGGTCGACATACTCATTTGATAAAGGGCTCATTTCTTGCCTTGCTAGACACAACATCAATTAGAACTGACAAAAACGACAAAGAGGGTAAAGTGCCCCTGGCAGGGAGTGAACCTATGACCTTCGCCCCGCCGCGGTGGTCTAGTGGCTAAGGTACTCGGCTGCTGACCCGCAGGTCGCGGGTTCGAATCCCGGCTGCGGCGGCTGCATTTCCGATGGAGGCGGAAATGTCGAGGCCCGTGTGCTCAGATTTGGGTGCACGTTAAAGAACCTCAGGTGGTCAAAATTTCCGGAGCCCTCCACTACGGCGTCTCTCATAATCATATGGTGGTTTTGGGACGTTAAACCCCACAAATCAATCAATCAAATCAATCAACCTATGACCTTCCAATAACGCATCCAATACTCTACCAACCGAGCTACAGTGGTATAGTCACCGCCCTGTCCATTTACATGTGCATTTTAAACGTGAGAGGGTTAGTCAGCACCTTTATTACTGGACATAATAAAGCGTGGATGGTATTGCAAACTTTGTTCATGAATTTCTGTGAAAAGCAAAAATGCGGGGGACCTCCTGACATATTGCAAATGACAATGGAGTTGCAGCGAGGCCAGAAAACATCTTCAAAGTGCAGAATTGTTCTCAATTTGATGGTACCGACCCTGCTGATGTATGCACCTACACTGATGAAGTGACAGCAGCCCACTTATCTCATGCAAATACACATTAGTCTTATATATCATGCTGCATGAGTCTTTGAGATAAGAGTTAAAGTTTATCGTTTAGACTCACCCTGTAGGTGTGCTCCCCAGTGTGCCTTCGTCAAAGAGCCGGGTGTCCTCCGTGATTTCCACAGTGGACCTGTGTTTTATGCAGCAATAAGTCAGCATGGCCACTCAGTTCAACCTTTTAAAACAGGTAGCTTGCAACATGCACAAACGTTGGCCTCCTTGGCACAGCTAGACAGAAAATTGCCGAGGCTAAAAGGCCACACCTGTGCTGTTCCACATCATGAGCTCATACACAGGGTAGCCATCTGTGAATGGTTGCCCACCCACTAAAATCTTGATATAACGAACTATTGCTTATAACAAAGGAAGTGAAGAATAGCTTTGTAGTAGATGCAGTGTAGCAAACAATCATTTATAACAAATTTTTCAATATAATAAAGAATATATTTGTGGCATAGGAGACTGTTGTAATGAGGTTTGGGTTTACCCTATATTGCTGCATATAAGCTAACTCCGAACATAAGAAGACCCCCTCCCCTATCTTTTGACCTGGAAAGCTGAAAAAAATCTACAAGTAATCTACAAGTAAATTATTTTTAAAAATTGTCCCCATTTACAAAACAAACATTTTCTTGCCAGCAAACTACAACCTTAAGCCTTCATGTGGCAGTTGTGATCGCGTGCTTTCACGAAAGCTTCACGCACCATGCTGTCTGGCAGCTTGTACCAAACATCAGACGGCCACTGTGCCACAGTGCTCAAAGGAGCCCGCCTCACATGCCCCGTCGGTATTTCGGGTTTGTTGTCCTGGTCTATCCAGTCTTCGTAAAGTGCCGCCACCCGGTCCTTAAATGGCATGTCGAGTGCCACGCCCAGCGGCTGTAGCACTGGGGTCAAGCCGCCCAGGATTATCGCCAACTGGCAATCCGCGTACGCCACGGTTCTCTTCGTGCGTTCCGTGATGTGCTCTCAGAACGAGTCTAGCACAAGCATGCTTTTGGGCCTGAGAAGACCCTATGGGCGCCCAAGCCAGACTCATGAACATGTCAACTGGGGGGGTAGAAGAGCGAGAAGAAGAGGAAGAAGAAACGAGAGAAAATAACAATATCAATGAAGAGAAATGAGAAAAGAGGAAGAAAAAAAAATGGGCACAAGCGACTGACATGGCCGAGGGAGACGGGGGCCCGGGGTCTTGGAACGCAGACGTGCGCAGACGAGGGGTCGAAGCAGCACGGTGTTTTCTAAAACCCAACGAGCACAGCTCCTAAAACGGACGTGCCCCAGCCTTCGCAGCAATGCTCTGTGAGCTGCGGGGCGCAGCCAGGAGTTCGACCAGCAGGGCCCAGGAACTGCAACCCCATTGTCACCCGCCAGACGTCCTGCAGCGATGCTCCGTAGGCGGCGCACCAAAAATGACAAGCGGTACAACGTTGTGGGGACCCAATGCTTGGGTGACCGAACACCTAACGGTGCAGCTTACAGCTGGGACCATCGACGCAACGAGCTTCGCAAACGAGACGAGCTGTACGACTCGACGCTGGAGCCAAGTCAAGGCAACGCCCCTTGAACTCTGCAAACACGACTCTCTAGTCTTGTATGTATATATATATATAATACATATATATACATATATATATATATATATACTATATATATATATATATATATATATATATATATATATATAAAGTGTGTGGGAAACTGTCGTAGCGCATTTAACATGTCTTTTGTAAATTAGGTTCTCCGTTCAGTTTCATTTTCATAAACGAGTTTTCATGTTCCTTGCTGTTCCTGTCTCAATGAACATCTACAGAGAGCATGAAAAAAAGAGTCGCGAGCCTGCCAGGATTAATTATCCTTGCTAATTGGTCTCTCACGTCACAGGAGCATGGACTACGAAAAATTGTTGGGAAATACGACGGCGTTGGGGCTCAGCAAAGAGGAGCACGTGAAAAAGGAAGCTCGTGAGGCAAGTGAAGCCGAGAAGGAGATACTTCTCTTTAAGGGGGGAGGTGGGGATCGAAAGTGAAATTCTTTAGTTTTTGTCTTAGAGCAATGAAATTTGGCATGCTTACTGGAAACTGCGCTAAATGATAAATGACAAAGTTTCATTCAGCTATCTCCAGTAGTTCTGGCATTATAAATTTTTTTATCCATCAGTGTACTACCAAACTTGCCCAAAGCCTGGTGTGACAAAAAAACATGGTAGAAGCCTATAGTTGCTCTTATATTTTAGCCATTGGGATGGTTGATGTCGTGACATTCTGCAAATATTTTTATGACTCTGTTTTTATTTTACAGAGAACATTGTATACATGCTTGTAAATGTGGTCGTTATCATAATGTGAAATTAGCTTAGGAGTAAAAATACTGAGGTAGTAATTAACAAATATGAAAACGTCACGACATAGAAAATTCACTGAGGAACACAATGCAAAAAACCACATGAAAATCCGTCAAGCCATAGTCATGCAAGCATCGTGGCAAGCTGGACAGTCGGGTCAAAACACGTTTCTGAGAAAACTGGCGTTAAAGTTGAACAGTCAGTAAAGGTCCATCAAAATGCCCCGGGACTGTAATACTTTGTGTCTTTGCTTGCGAGGGTCTTCTTACGTCCTTTCTCTTTCATTTTTTCTGCACTGCGTGCTTTTCGTTTTCTTTGCTGGTCTTTTTCTTGAGCTCTTTGAAGGGCGAGGCTAGCAGGTTTGATGCCCACGGACTTGCACATTTCAGTCTAAACTCGCAAATTCCCAAAATTGCAGCGTGCAACTGCTTCATGTCCTGTTGTCTCCACTGCGAACAATGAAGCGTGTTGGTCCTTTGAAGTCAGTGACCAAATAATTGAATGCAAGCTTTCCGCCGCATTCTGAGTTTTGTTGCCTTTGCATCGCTCCAACAGTTGCGGGTCAGAGAGACGTTGGTATACAGGCAGCAGAGCCTCCGCTACACGTTTCGACAGGTTATACCTGTGAGGTGGTGCTGGCTCCATTTTGGCCTGTGCTGAACGATGTTTGCACCAGCTATCAGGGCCAGGTGGGCAGAGCTCATGGTGAGGCTCGTCGTCGGTGGACGTGACGAGATAAAAAGTGGCCATCACGGCCCTTTGCATGTCAGGGACACTTGTGTGTTTTTGCAAGGCTAACCCGTAGTAGCTGGTCAGTTTTTTAATCAACTCCTGCGTCAGTCCACCTCTCCCACCCAATGGCTCCCCTTTCTTAGCTCTTGTCACCAGTGTGCGGAGAGCGGTGCCCATTCTCTTCTGCACATGGTTCACGCAGTCTTCTTTGGTCAGTGGTATGAAGCCGTACACCTCATCTTTGCACAGAGCAAGATAGGTTCGGCTGTCACCATCACATATAATGTTGGTGTAGCGGAGGCCATACCTGCTGACAGAGCGCCTGAAAAGTGTCAGAGCAGCCTCCACTTCCATCTGTCCGGAGCCAACATCAGTATTCTTCTGACATTGATGTTTCTCAGCCCAAGTGACGAAGTTGGGGTCGCTCTCTGCTGGTTGTTGACAACACCCAAGACAGAAGTTGGAAAGGACTGTGCAATCCAGCACAAGCCCCGTGTAAAACTCAATAATACATCCTAACCCAATGTGTGAGCTGTGGCCTCTTGTAAGCCACGTGCCGTCATACACAACTGTGATGTTGTTTGGGCTTGATGGCTGCATCTTACTGTACACGTCTTTTACCGCAAGCACAGCATCTGCAAAGATGTTTTGTGCAGCTTCCTCTGCTCCTGGTTTGAATGTTTTTTTTAGGTGTTCCTGATAGGTTTTTTGATGAATGCCCCGATGAGAGACATTCATTGTAGCCCAGAAGCCATTCAGGGCAGTGGGCCCTTTTCCAATGGACTTGATTGCTTGCATGGCTCTTAGGTTGACTTCAAAAGCCCTTCCTTCGGATTTTCTACTGGATGACCAAGGTGAATGAATAGGGCCACAGGAAGCACACAAAAGTACCAGTTTTACTGCCAGGCCCAATTTTGTCCCATGCTGCACTGACAAAGTCTTCTTACAACATTTTGGGCAGAGTGCAGGTCCTATTAGGGAATTCATGGCAGAAACCTGAATTAGGGTGAACTCATCCTCTTTTGTTGCCGATGTTTGCTCCGTTTGCTGCGCGAACCCGAACTTCCGCTCCGTTGCCGACACTCGCGAAGTGCATTGCGGACACTGCTGGCTTGCTTCTCGGCGCCTTCCGAGGACACGAAACGAGGTTCCAGGTGTATTTGAACGGTGCGCTTCCGCTGAGGCAAACGATCGCCGACATCCTGGACAGCTGGCACCACGTCGTCGTCCGCCGCCGCGAAAACGAAACTTTTCTCGCGTTCACACCGCACCGTGATGCCACGGCTAGTTGATGGCCCCGGGTCTTCAGTGTCACTGCCAGGCGTCGATTCACCGTCACTTTGAACAGCCGGCACCGCATCGTCACCCGCCGCAGCGAAAACGAAACTTCTTTCGCGTTCGGGCCGCACCGCAACGTCGCGGCTAGTTGACGGCCCCGCGTCATAGGCCTCACTGCCGAGCATCGGCAGCGAGCAGGTGTCGGCTTCCGACGACACGCGGTACTCGGTTCGTCTGATTCAATCGCTGCTGACTGCTTCGTTTTCCCAACAGGAGGCTTGCGTTTACGCTTCCCGTAAGCGTACTTCGTCCGGTACTTCGTCCTGCGCTTCCGGTCCACGCGACGATCCATTGCGGGCGCTAAGCCTCGCGCTAGAGAAGAGTTGGCGTATCGGCGACCGTATCGGCGTATCGGTAGGGGATTCGCAAGCTATAGTGCGCCAGCGTGTGCGTAGCAGACGTGCGTGCGCGGAGCAGACGACCAGCGCAAGCAAGCGCGTCCCAGCAGCCACTCACAGAGCGCGCTCAGTACCACGTGACAGGAGCGACCAATGGATGCGCGTCTAAGGCGTCGCGGATGCCTTCGCATTTTTTCTGTTTGTGCGTTTATCTTAGCTCGTAGAGTCGTGGTTTCACCAGGAGAAGTACGGCGGTGAAGCAAGCTTTCCAGTGACACCAAGCTTTCCGCGAGCGGCGGCGAAGGCGCGGAAGTATCGCGCTCGAAAATGGGCCATTTTCGCGCAGATTTCAGCCAGCTTTTTGCGATCCGCGGTCAG